GTCACAATCAGACCTTTGTGATATCCTTCCGGTCACTCCGGAAACCACTCCCAATGCACTTTAAAGGATACCCAACGCACTTAGAAAAATTCCATGACACGAATCACTGCTGGAAGCGGTAGGTGCCATAGACAGAACGGGCAAGTGACGGAAAAAAAAAGGGGTGAATCCGTTGGTTCGCCACCACGGATCGGACCAACCGAGCCTTGAAATTGCATCAGCCCAGTTACTTTTAGACGGAATGTATTCCCAATACATCCATGTTCGCAACATCCGTTTCTTGAATGAGGCAAACTTGAACTATGACGCTCACTCTGTGAGTTTCCTCATCAGTAACCAAACAAGCAAGTCGAATCACGTGCCCCATGAAGCATGGAGCAACCGAATCGAGCAAGTCAAAATCATAAATGAACCATGAAAACCCTTCATGGAGCAAAAAGAGCGCTGGCCACATGGAATTAACGCTCCAAGAGAATCCCTGGAGCAACTGTGCAACATATGGGACCGCCGACCAAGTCGAGCGTGGAAGACGATGCTCAGTCCATGACTCCCCGCGTGACCAACAGTGTCAAGGAAGTCGTTAACGGGATATGTGAACGCACGCTCCCTGAAACACCTCATGAAGCAACAGCGCCAAACAAGTTGAGCTGGAAAAGTGAACGTACGCTCCATGAAACTCCTCATGAAGCAATAGCACCAACCAAGTTAAACCTGCTATACGAACGCAGCCCCAGGAGATTTCGCATGAGGCAGCAGAGCAACCCAAACTTGGTGTTGTAATGCACGCTTCATGAGACCCCTCATGAAGCAGCAGCACCCCAATCCAGCGGAACTTGAGCGGACGCACGCTCCATCAGTCCCCTCATGAAGCACCGCATCAAGTCAAAATTAAATCAGCCATGAAAGCGCTGGCCAAACTCCAAGACCCCATGAAGCAACTGCGCAAAACACAGGAGACCCCTCATGAACAAACAGCGCCGAGCTTGGACTATGATGCTGGGTCCATGAGTCCCCACTTGAACAACAACCACAACAAACAAGTAAAGCCTGATATGTGACGCACGCTCCATGGAACACCTCATGAAGCAACAGCGCCAACCAAGTGGAAGTTGATGTGTGAATGCACGCTCCATGAAACACCTCATGAAGCAACACCAGCGACCAAGCCAAACTTGGGATGTGAACGTACGCACCATGAGGCCCTTCAAGAAGCAGCGGCGCCAGCCCAGTGGGATCTG